CGTGCCGGGCCCTGATCGTTTATCTTAGCACACACCCTGACCTTCTATTACCGAATCAAACAAATGCGTGGAACTGAGAAAAAATATCAAAGATTTTTCAAGAAGATTTGAGAGCAAGACTCATGTACCATAGTAATAATATAGAGAAACGATAGTGTTCATAGCAACAAGAACTAATAGATTTTCTGCAGTAGCAGATGCACTTGGGTCGAGAAAAATGAAATGTTATGAAGAATTGGAAGCTTTTAAGTGAAAAACTTTGCTTGGCAAATAAGAATTGACAAGATGAAACCTAAGAAGACATAATCTGCGCTGTTAGCTGAACGAAATGGCAGGTGACTTCTAGAAAAGAAAGCGCTTTTCATTTCAAAAAATCCTTGTCAGGTGATGAGAGATAGACTTAGAAAAACTCTTATTACTGCTACACTCCCGACTCGTTCGTGGAAGAACGAGAATAGATACAAAAAAAGATGTATCACGCAGATTAGGGGGAGTTCACAAAGTATTGAAGTTTAGAAAGATGGTCATCCATTACGATGTGGTGATGAAGAGAGCAAAAGAAACTTGAAATGAATCGCTGTAGATGTCTAGATATCTTATTGAAAAATGCAGCCACTCGATAAAACTTTTCCAGCGCAGTAGATCATTCAAAGTGCGCTATGGACATATGTATGACTCACAGCAAAAATCAATCGTTTTCAAACAAAATGAGATAATTCTCATGGGTATTTATCACATCTTACTCGTCAGATCATATTTCTGATTTTAATTAAAGATATATAAGCTAAGACGGGATTACACCGGCTGTCCATAGATTTTTACAGCCAAGAAACAGGAACGATAAGTGCACTGAAAAAAATCAGTAAAAGACTAACCAAGACAAGTAAGCACTACTCATATGTTTTGATGAGAATTGGAAATAAAGGACCACAGAAGAAGATTAGTTTATTCAGAACACCTTGCTGAGGTAAGAAATGATCTAACATGAAGCGATAGATTTACAAGGATATACGTCAGCTCAACATTTCATTCAAATCTCACTCGGCAATTCGTATCAATGGACCGGTGGCTAACCATATAATATTATCCGAGGTGTCAAAGCAATTTCGTCAATTCGAAGCGTTTTCATGTACTCCGCAATGCATCAACGATTAGAGATTCGAAAATCTTTTTTACATGATAGTTTTCAAGGGTCGCGTGCGAAACTAAACTACGGGTTCAAAAGCAGATTTTGAATTTCTTTGCTTCCTTGTGAATTTCATCATAAAATGTTGAAATACTCAATAGTTTTCAACTTTGCCCGAATTACCTATTGCATCATATTTTCGAACAGCAGCGTAAGTGGAAAGGAGACGAATAGCAATATCATGCATTCCAGACTGTAATGATGATCTTGGATATTTCTTCTCATTTCCCTCTTTGAAAAGCTATCTCTAAAATGCTGAA